GAATGGATAGACACTATATGCGATAACGTACGCGGCACAATGACAGCAACTGGGCACAGCTAAACCAATATTAGACACAAGTCCAGTCCAGCCGTCTAAGCAGTTCCGCCAGCACCTAGAGAGCCGACGACTACATCGATTTGTTGGCGCCCCCGATGCCTTCACCGCAAGATGAATATACGAGTGGGTTCCCGGTAAAGCTTTTGATACAGCCCGCCATCGTAGATAGTTACGAGCACCACCAATTACGGAGCCGGGAGGGGAAGGGGAGGCATCACCCAATATTGCAGGCAAAGTATGCAGTGACAGCAGTAGTAAAACTGAAAGGGACCGTGGGAACTTTAATATCGGGTTCATATATCCGTCGGTAAACTGACACGGCCCGATGATCTGCTGTTCTTCCTTCCTCTAAACTCTTTCCTCCTCTCAAGTGTCTAATACGTCCAGGTGAGTGCCAATCCTGGATTATTACGTTCAATATTATCATCCTAACTGTTGAGAATCAGGCTTGATGCGCAGGTTAGACTCCAGGCTGGTAAAGCCAGGTAGGAAGAACCCCTTTTATTCTAGCTCCTACAGAGCCTGTATTTATACTACTTCTGCCTATTATCTAGAAGTTACTACGACTTTCTCCTCCTCTCGTGCTTACTCATCAAAACTCGGCATGATGCCGGATTGCCCCTTCTAGAACTTTCCGGCAAAATCCCAACACTCCCCCGCAAGACGGCATCCTGCCGCAGATTTCCCAGTCTCCCACGGAAACTAAGAATAAACCAATATACCAAATATGGCTCCAAATGCCAAATTCGGAAACTCCCCCGGAAGCCCTCTATTCTAGCTCATATCACAGGAGCACACAGCTACTCACAGCCGGCCGATAACACATATCCAGACCGCCGGATCTCCCAGATCTACCGTGATAGATAACGAATATCCTCTGGAGCGTAAGAGACCAACCTTCCTAAAGGAAAAACTTATACCCATTGTTCCATCACCGATTAGTCACCGTTCCCCATCAACGCCCATACTGCAGGAGCACCATGCTACTTTACAGCCAGCCGATAACACATATCAAGGCTGCCGGACCATGTCTAACCACAGCAGAACTAATTCCTACCAGGGGCTCAAGGGAATTGACCAACAATATAAAACTTATCACTAATATGCCTCAATAGGCACAATCCTCTTCATCATCACTGTGCATGACGTTCGCAACGTCTGCATCCCTCATCGCTCCATTTCGCGCATGTCATGCAGTCACGACTAATATGGCCAGTCTTGCCACATGTATAACACTTCACACGCCGTCGCCTCGGGCCGCTTGATCCCTTTGATCCTGAGATCAGAGCCGTCACACTGGGCACTCCACATCTCCTTCCTTTTTCATCAATTGACACATTCGTTACAGTAGCGGTACCCAAATTGGAATTGGTCGCCGTGTCAAGTTTGCCACAAATTGACATGTAATAAATGAGGGCGAATGAGAAGTCAAGGTACCGTGATCAGAGTCTAATCGGGCCGGGGCCCATAACCTGTTGAGAATCAGGCTTGATGCGCAGGTTAGACTCCAGGCTGGTAAAGCCAGGTAGGAAGAACCCCTTTTATTCTAGCTCCTACAGAGCCTGTATTTATACTACTTCTGCCTATTATCTAGAAGTTACTACGACTTTCTCCTCCTCTCGTGCTTACTCATCAAAACTCGGCATGATGCCGGATTGCCCCTTCTAGAACTTTCCGGCAAAATCCCAACACTAACGACTTTCAAACGTAGAGAAGTCACCAAGAGCAGAAAACAAGTTATAACTTGGACTGCCGTGGGCACCCTTCCCACAAATCTGACCGTTCAGCTGACCATCAAGCCAGTCAGATGTTCTACTGAAAGTGCAGTAGCAACTTATCCGCAGCTATTCTGCTTCCACCACGATGAACGCCAAAAGGTGGAATCCATGCTGCTCCCTGGAAGAAGGTTCGTTCGTAGATTGACCCATTTAGCGTGCTAACATGAATTTTTCAGCGGATAGAATACTCACAGCTCCGGGAAGTATGCTCGAAATTGAAACTCGCGTGAGTATAGCCCACGTAGCTGCGGAACGACGCCTGAATATCTGCAATTTAGATAGTTGATGGCAGGGTCTCGAAGGTGTGGAAGAACCTCTGGTCATCAATAAGAGCGTTCTTCTTGCAATCGGCAAATGAACACGCAGAACAGACCTATTTAGTATTCGAGCATGAACGCTATACCTTTCAAGAGATACTCGACGAGGCAGTTATATGTGCTGCCATTTTCAGAGATGTTTATAGAGTTAAGAAGGGTGCGTAAGCGGGGCGGGGCATTCGATGTGCTACACTAAGACTCATTTCAACATTATATACAGGTGATCGGGTAGTTATCTGCTCTCGAAATTTCCCAAGTTATTACATAGTGTTCTGGGCTTGCCGTACGCCAATATTTTGAGCTTCTAGTCCGTGTCCTCAAGTCCCATCCCAGATCTTCTTGGAGCTGTCACCGCGCTTGTGAACGCGTAAGACCTGTTGTTACATTTTCAGACACTTTCCTTATTCATATGCATAATAGGTGGCTGCCACTCGAGACACTTCGACACTGCATCACGCTCACAAATTGCTCGTTGATAATCCTAGACCCTGAGCGAGCTGATAAGATCGAGCCAATTGCGCCTGATCTTAAGCATGTATCGGGTACGTCAGGATACCTTGTTATTCAAGACCATGAAGGCAAAGGGTTTTGGGAGGGCATGGACGTCTGGAGCACAATGCGTTCTAAGTATGACGTGGGTTACAACAGAATACTGCAAGACGATCCTCAAATGTCGCCTGATGATGATGCGATGATCATCTTTACGTCGGGAACTACTGGTCTTCCAAGTAGGTCTTATCGAAGTATCTCCACATGAGCCCGCAAATCTTACCGTTCATCACAGAAGGTGCTCTAAGCACACAGCGCGCACTCCTAAGCACCCTTTCCAGTGTATGGTTTCAATCTGTGGACTATCGTTTCGTCTTCATACATGTTCGATAGAGAGCTGCTATGGCCGGAAGGGACGCTGTTCGACGAGGCGTACCGTATCCTTCTCCATCGGTTTCAAGTCCGCAGCAGCAAAGCATACTACTTCCCACGCCTCTGTTCCATGTTACTGGAATCAGGACGAGCGTAAGTCGATCTTTCATCTTCGTGACCTCATATATCGATAAGCCAACACTGATGTATCTTCAGTTTACTGGGACTTCTCAAGGAATAAAGCTGGTTTTGATGCGGAAATGGAATGTAGAAGAAGGTAGGGATTGGTTCCATCACCGTTGTATTCCTCATTTCAATGCCTCTTTTCCTCAGCTATCAAGTAAATCATTTTTTCTCATCTTCGAAAGTTGTTGACGCAATTTCCTGTCTTAGATTGTGCAGAGCAGAAAACGTAACCGTCTTGGGCGGGTGCGCGTCTATCTATTTGTTATGGTATCCCCTGACCAGTCTATAGCGTACCCTCAACTGTAAGCGATCTCGCCGACAGCACCCCGCCCGGGTTATCAATAAAAAATATCACGTTCGGTGGTGCTCCGGTAGCGCCCTCTCTGGTCATAAGATCAAAGCAAGCTTTTCCCCATGCAGTGTTGTATGTGTTCAAACCAATTTTTTCTGCATATAGCCTAACCAGTTTCTCGGTAGCGGACAGGCATACGGTCTCACAGAGACCAATGCCGCTTCTGTTGGAGTCGGTGAGCAAGGTATCTCTCAACTTCTTTAAGCCAAATGCCAATTAATTGTAGTTGGACCTGACTATGCGGCGAATCTGGATAGCTGGTGACCCCTTCTCTCTAATTTTCGTTTTTCGAACTCACCAAATATCAAGCGGATTCATACTACCTCCCAACGACATTGTAATTATGAAAGATGGTATCGAGGCTGCCACAAGAGAGGCAGGTGAGATATGGCTACGTGGTCCGAACATAATGAAAGGGTACTTTGGGGATCCAGGTGGGTTTATTCGTCTGATATTCATTCGTCGAGTGCATGACTTATGATCGAACCACTGTAGCTGCCACAGAGAAGGTAAGCAAGGCAGGTACTGTTTGTGCACCCTCAAGGACTTATCTCCGACAAAGGTTCTCACAAAGGATGGGTGGTTCAAGACTGGCGATTTAGGTTGCATCGACGAAGACGGTTATGTATATATCAAAGATAGGATCAAGGACATCATTATTCGTGGCGGAGAGAACATTGTGAGTGCTACGCTCGCGAATATCTTCAATCAATAACGGTGCGAAGGATTCCACTTCCGTAGAGAATGCCCTGTACACTGAGCCGGGTGTATTGGAAGCGGCAGCGGTAGGCGTACCTGACGAACGGCTAGGGGAGCTGGTGACTGCGCGGGTTACTATCAAGCCTGGATACCACGGAAAGATCGACGAGAAGAAACTTTTGGCGGTTGCGGAAAAACTGTAAGTGTTTCGTTTGTTCCAGCTTATCCCAAATATGCAAGGCTAATCCTTGGATAGTCTACCAAGGTTTGCTGTGCCGGTGATGATTGTTGTGCAGGATGGGGAGTTTGGTATGTTTTCTTTTGATGCTATATTAACGTACGTCTAACACTGATGAACGTAATAAGACCATACACCTTCTGGCAAGCTCATCAAGACACAACTACGAAGGATAGCGCAACAGGAGTGGGCGCGGAGGTCCAGGCGTGCGAGGGATTTCGATGCCGGGAAGTCCAAGCTGTAGGAATAATTATTGCATGATGGTTGATTCACAGGCGCATTGCTCAGTGTGGCCTCGGCTCGATACCTAACCTTGTAGCACTGTGAGAGGTCTTTTGCAATGCTGTAGCTTCAAATTGGGAGCGAAGATCTGACTGCGATTTGATTCTTTTAGAAAGGGATGAGGCGAGGCACGGATGAGATTAGCAGACATAGGTTACAATGGTAGGAAGATATGTCAAATAATATTGCCGTACCATACATAGTATCCAACCACTATATCACATAATGACCCCTTAGCTCAGTGGTAGAGCGTGTGATTCCAGAAAGGTTTGACCCCTAAGTGGCGTCCACAAGGCCAAGCGTTCAACTCGCTTAGGGGTCATCTTTATTACCTGTGAGTAAGAGATGCCTCTCCTTCGAGAATACCTCGAGACAGATTGGCAGAGTGTGCAGCGTTTGAATAGCTTGTGTTCAGGGTATCCGACTTCATGCGGTGATGAAGAATCCCTTTTGCAGCATAGGTACCAAATAGTTGTAAGAAAACTGAAGCAGCAGCCTGTTGAAAACCATATAATACTGTGTTTTCAGCTGTGCCTGCATGCAAACATCAACTTGAAACCAGTGTAAAGGCACAAAAAGAGATGCTCACCTCCAAGCGTACTGTCACTGGCAATCAACTTCATGAAGATGTGAGCCGAATCATATTGCAACACCGAGCCAGGGACCGAGCCCACACCACCTGGTGCAGATGCTAAGAGAACTGATTCATCCAAGAGTGAGGGCTCCTATTTGATGACATGTTCCATTCCATTGAGCAGGGAATCCAAAGTCTTGTGGTCACGAAAGGCTTGTCAGCACAAGGCAATGGCAATGAGTTGAGTTGTGGCATCCAGTTCCAGCATATGCTCCACCACAGCTGCATGGAGAGTGAATGTGCATGAGAATGGGTTGTTTGTGTGGCCACCTTTCCAAGTGACAATATTGATCAGAAGATCAAATTGACCTTGGATGGGAGTACGGCATAATGCAAGGTGCTACAAGCATTGTTAATGCACTGAAAAGTGAGATAAACTAGAAGACATACTTTATAGTGCATATAATCATTTGGATAATCATGGTTACTCAACAGAGATCCTGGTCTACAGCCTGGCAAGAGAAGAAGGGTCCAAAGAAAGATATGCTGTATAATCTGTAGATGCAATTAGTAAAGGATGATTCAAACAGAACCCTGAAAGATGTACCATGTCAAAGCATCTTCTTGATGTTGGGCTAATGAGCTCTTTAAAACACTGTTCAATCAGCACCCTCAGCTCTGGAGGACCCCAGTATTGTTTCTGTCTTTGCGTCTTGATCAACTTGAATGTCTGGACAAGATGTTGACAGTGCTATAATTTATGAGAAATGATGTCTTGGCTCAGGGAGAGAATGTACATTATTGATCCTCTCTGACCACTTGTCTATCCTTTCTTGGTTTACTCCAGGACAAAAGTTGACAACCTATCAAGATATCATCAATGTTTAGAGTCTTGAAGCATGTCAAAACATATCAAGGCAAGGAGGTCATCATGAATTGTCTTGAGGCTGGGCCAACTCATCCTGGTTGTTTCTTTTGCATTGTTTCTCTCACAGAGTGGCCTAGAAGTGGCGACTCTTGTGGTGAGGTAACACAATAAATGCTCTATGGAGAATATCAGCTGAGAGATATATTATTATAGATTAAAGAAATTTAACATACTCATGAGCATCTCTGTCTCAAAGATCCGATCTGTGTATGCAATCATGGAGGGATGCTGCTGGTGGAACTTTACAAGCTTCTCCAGCAGTCCCAGGTGTCTTCTCATTATACTCTTGGACCAGAAAAGGGCATGCTCTGAGGCGTCATTCATGTTGTCCATGAATTCTTGAAATTCAATAGTGCTGAGCATGTTTGCAAAATATTCATCATTTTCTTCAGCATTGCACCTACCAAGAGGACCCATGATAGGCAGGCAAAAAGAGAGCAAAGTGCAAAAGTGCGAGAGAGGGCGGAAGGGCAGAGGCCTGATTTGAAAATGGTGCCAGCTTTCTCTTTTTGGACATTCATATCCAAAGCACTGGCTGCCCCATTTTTTTGGCCTTTGACATCGGGCTTGTATGATTCCAGCTCTCTTGCCTTTTCACCACCATGTCTAACCATGGAAAATCATGCAACAAGTTTGAGGTCTTTGAGGTCCCCAGATCAGGGTTGACCAAGGCTGCTTTGGCAGTCTTGGGTGGTCACGATAAAAGGATTGCAGAGTCTCAGGCTGAGTATGTCTTCTTATGATAAGCATTGTGAGATACTGACCAACTTGATCAGGCTCCATAGGGTGGAGAATGGGTTAAAGAAATTGGTTCACTATTCAATCCCAAGCTTTTTGATTTTCTAAACACATTGGTTTTAGGGTACAATGAAGCACAAACACTCTGGCCCAAAGTCTCCATTGCTAGCAGGCACTGCCAGAGGCACCAAGACCCATAGGACCAAAGTTGGCTAAGACTCTCCCTCGAAGCATCGTCAAGAGTTGCCATCTGATGATGAAATTGCTGACCAGCCCAAACCTCGCTCCCGCAATGGGAAAACTAGATTGCCATCCTTCAACAATGTCTCTGACATGAGTAGATCTTTATTATTGACTACACCATTGCTTATGTCTCTTTTAGGAAGATATGGGGACCAAGGATGCAGCCCAAGGTGGAAAGGGCAAGGAAAAAGCAGTCATACATCAGGTATGTCCTTGCCATGTTCTCTCACCATACTTGATCCATCTTTGTGTCGCAGCCCACTATCATCATCATGGACTCTGAGTCCATGGCATCACAGAAATTCGAAGAGCCAGCCAAGGTAGGTGCTCTTGTATTGCAATGATCCTGACCCGAGTTTTCCAAAGCTGGCGAAAAATTCTGTGTCTAAGAATACCTCAGAGGTTGGGACTTTTTTTTTTTTTTTTTTTCACTTGGTCTCATTATTCTGATGCAATATTTTCTTTAGAAGAAAACTGCCATGGCCTTCAAAGCCGCTCGTCCTGTCGAGGTTAGTTTTTACTTATTTACTGGTTCCATTGTTCTGATGCCATGTTTTCTTTAGAAAAAAAAGGAAAAGACCAAGGCCCCACCAGTTGACAAAATGGGCAATGTCAATCATCCCTCAGAGGTCAGTAGTCTTCAAAAAATTGGTTACATTGATGTGACATTTTCTTTAGAGGAAAAAAGAAAAGATCAAGGCCATTGACAAAGGGACCAAAGGTGATGGTTCCGATGTTGATGTAAGTCATTTCCTCTGTTTTGATATGCACAACTCATAATCGCCAAAGGATGTAAAACTTCCTAGTGATGCTGTGAGTACTTTAGATCCATTCTTTATCATTTTATCTGATTGTGTCTCAGATGTTGAAGCCTTCGACAGGATGACAGATATCTGCTTTGATGTCAGGAACCCAACTTGTAGCTCCTACCAGAATGACAAACACTGAGACCACAAGCTACATGACAGCCATTGATGTGCTCGGTAACCATACAGAGATAGCTAGAATCTAAATATATACAGAGTGTAACTCATATATACTAAACCCTAAGCAATCCTTGCGCTCACAATCACCAAATATATGAGTTCAGGCATTTCGAGATTGATAGAAGACCTCTGCAAACTGAATAGTCTAAGCTTGTCCACAAATATTCAACTCAAAGATGAAAACAATGAGGATATTCAAGGAAATCTGACTTCAACAAAGCAGATATACAATGTGTGTGTGGTCTAGTGGTATAGTTAAGCGAACTTTGTCTGTTAGAATGCTGAATAGACTTCAAAACTCAAAGTTAGATGGCTCTTTGCCTTGATCTTCCAGTTCACTGACTGATATATGGGCGCACTGGCCTCTATCTTTAGCTCACTGGCTTATATTGGCTGCGATGCCTTCACTTCAAGCTTCGTTCTGAATATACAGCGGTCTCTGCGACTCACGATGTTTTTACAATCAAATATATGCTTTATATTCTTTAGTGGACTTAGCAATATGCTATTTGTCTGAGACTCGACTTAATACCTCTTAATTCAACCTTAGCTTCTGTGCTATATGGTCAAACTGCAGGGTGGTGAAGCCTCCTGTATATTCGTATGTACAGTCCTTATATACTACTACTGGTCCATGCTACCTCGGCTATTTAGTCATATACTATAGTGTAAGTTACTACCAGTCACAGCTAGCCCAAGATATCCTACCACTGTGCTATGCAACCTGGTCTAGCTAGCTGCCTCTGATGTTCTAGGCCAATATATTCAGTTACCTGCCTTGTACTAGGAATGCTGTGTATCCTTCCATATGGAATAACTTAGTTACCCACACATTGCCTGGTTTCAGGCTGATTCATGATTAAGGGGTAGCCATGAGCTTGCTATAACTAGAACTATCTGATGCAACGTGATCGGTCAGAATATTCCTGGAAGATCGATTGGTAGATAGTATAGTCTCATCATTGATGCGAACCTCATGGTTCTTCAGGGTTATATCTTTCTCTAAGGCAATCCTGGTAGCATCGGCTATCCCATAATGGACATTAGCTCTGCCTGCTATCACGACTATTCACAGTTTTAGCTGGTATATCTACTCCTGGTTTAATAGCTAACTCGCAACTAGAACTGTTATGGCATATATATTAGGCTGGTAGGTCTGACTCGTAGCAATATCTTTCCTCAGTCCTAATGCCACTTGGTATATTGCATAGTGCGAAGTGATAGCTTTAGCTAGCGATCCGGAGGCTCAATCCTAGCTCTCGATATTCAAGTACAGTATAGATTGGATAAGTATATATATACAAATCGCAAAATCTATGGGTGGATACGTTCCATGTGTATCACCATAGGCTCTGGAAGCCTAACTGTCTCCAGTCATGCCTCAATCCACACCTTGCAATTGGCGTTATTGATATTGGAAGATTCGATGGGGCATATGACTGCTATGGAGGCAATATTAAATGTGGAGCTGCAAAAGATGGGAAAGGGGCCAGTCCATATCCCTGGATTCCTTCCAGAAGAATTCCACGATGTATCTGCACCCCTCCAACTTGTTTCACATTTCCATGCTTCCCAAGCCACTGAATTCAGCAGCAACCACTCTCTCTCCCTTTTTGGGATCATTCGTGAAGTGATGAGAGACAAAAAGGTCTACCCCAGGGCTGAGATTACACCAATTTCATTCTATGATGAGTCAGGGGAGGATGGTAGTCAGGAGGTGGTGGTGCCAGAAGTCAATGATCATGGTGAAGGATCTTCCAGAGGCCAGACCACTTCAGGTGTTACATCAGGCATGACGGAGGATGATGATGACAATTAAGTCTGCATTTTCTTTCTCTTATGCTTATGTTATG